CCGTGCCCGGGATCTGGACCTATGAACCCTGGGCCGCTGAACGGGAGCACACAAACTTAACCACTATGCTACCCGGCTAGCCCGATTTTTAACCTTTCTGACCTACTTTGTTTTAAGTTTTGCTCTTGTTTGTGGCATAGAGGTTTTTTTTTTCCTTTGTAATCCAATCTGATTAATTTTCCTTTAATAGGTTTTAATATGGAAGATATATTTGATATTAGTTTGTCCACATTATTTTATTTTCTATTTTTATCTCTTTTGAAGAATCTTGCACTATGTGGTCTGTTTTCCTTGCTCTTTTTATGGGATTATTCTGATATTTTTCTAGTGGTTGTCTTTATAATTTCACGTAATGCCCTTAGTCTTCTAAGAAAGTAGTGATAGTTTCCTACTATAAGCAGTGATAAAATTAATGCATTTCATACTAATTCTAATATAGAGACATTGCAACTGTGTTACATGGTCTCTTTTATTGTATTTAGACCTGTGTTGCATTCTGTCCTCAGAGGAGAGAATTAATCACTCAGCCAGGAAGCTTGAAAATGAATCAGTATTATTGTTAGCAGTAAATATGCTGTCAGAAGAGGCCTTGTGAGTTTTCCTAGAGTAGATTGTCAGCCTTTAACCAGGCTCTCTTCGTCTGTAAGAATTATAGTTTCTGAAGTCAGCATGGATCTTAAAGTTGGTAACCTGGCATTTGTCTGGTCACAATTGAACGTTAGTTCGCAGTCTTTGTAGGTGGTCTGTTATTTGACACCAGAGAGTCACCAATTTTATGTCCCAGTTGACATTGAAAGATGTTATTGGGTCTGAAGTTCCCTTTTTTTTAGTGTGGGCTCCACACTTGTTGAGAGCTTTATCACCATTTAATTTTTCAAAAACAATATATTTGGCAACAGAGAGGCATATTACATATGAAAAGGGTTTTTTAGAATTAGAAGTCTTAATTTAAAACAGTCCAGCTTGGCATACCCCAGGTGATGACAGACTCGTATCCTACCATCCAGTGCAGAAGGGGAGTCCCCACCCTACACCTGGGGAGGAGCACAGCCTCTGTTCAGCCTCCTCTCTGTTCGGGAGGCTTCAGCCCTGGGCCACAGACAGCCTCTGTAGAGGGTGGGAAAAGGAAGGTGTTTTTATAATTTTTAGACCCAGGTCAATGATATGACCTTAGGTGACTTCCTTAATTTTTGTGGTGAAAAGATACCTCCGCCCTCCTCCAATAGGGCAGCTGAAACATAGACTGTTGCTGGAGAGGATTTACATTTCCACTTTGTACTCTAGTCCTGTGATGGCTGCTAGTATTGTTGGTGTAGACTAGTATTTTTAGTCTGCAGTTTGCCTGTGAATCACTGCAAAAACCCTGCTGAAAATGAAAATACCCCCTCTCCCCTAACTTCCCGCTGAATTTAGATTGAACGCGTTTGGGAGTGTGGAATCTGTGCTTTTACTGTGTACTGCAGGTGATTCTGATGTAGGTCTTCCACAGACTACAGTTTGAGGAAATCAAGATTGGCAGTTCTGTGTTTAATGTAGAAATTTTACTAGAATCTAGTTTGACAGAATTCTGGTTGGATTTACTCATTATGTCTACAGTGTTTCAAGTAGACTTTGTTTCAAAGATATAGTGATTTGAATTTATCAACTTTCTTCAATTAAGAAATCTAGGAAAACACACATATGAGATTTTATAACTCCAATCAGCTTGTGAAAAAAATGTTTGCATGAGGATGTTTAATATACAAATTACAGAACGATGAATTTCACACTCTTGTGATGCTTCCATGAAAGCCTCAAGGATAACTGACAAGTCTATTTTTATCAAATTTAGTGGGTTTCCAAATCCTTATCTGCTTATCAAACAAAATGTTAATTAGAACAGTAATTGAGTAACCAGATGCCTCTTGTGTTCACTCTAGGAACTTGTACAAAAACATTTGTGGAGCTCATGTAAGGTCAGTCATTGCTTTTGAGTTGCTAAATAATAACTTTGCTGCAGGCTTCTAAAAATCCAGGTATTGAGGGAGTCTACAGGAAGATAAAAATTGATAAGAGATTTGCAACAGTTAGTCTGATACTCTCTCTCCAGTGGATTAAGGTGGAAAAATCTTTCTTCAGCACCACAGATGGGAGAAAATCCTCCCTCGTAGGTTTCTTCCTGAATCAGCTTGTGCCTGCCTAGTCTTGTAGTAGAACAGAAAGAGCCTTTGGAGCTAGGTATGCTGGCACAGATTTCCTGGAAAAAAAAATAAAACATTAAGAAATGAAGTTTATAACTTTATTTAAGCAACACAGAACATCATGACAGGATGATATATCCCAGGAATGCAAGGATCATTCAGCATCAGAAAATACGAATAATATATTAAGAAATTAAGTGACAGAAACCATGTGATCATTTTAACATAGAAAGAACATTCGGTGAGATTCAGTAATCCTTTATGACTAAAAAAATTTTTTTTGCAAAAACTAGGAAACTTCCTAAACCTTAGGCTAATAAGTCATTTATTCCAAAACCTACAGCAAACATCATACTTGAGTTGAAACTTTAGAAGCATTCCCATTAGTGTCAGTAAGAAGACAGAGGATGCCTGTTAGCATTACCTTTGTTCAACACAGCCCTGAAGGTCTTCGCCAGTCGTGTAATGCGATAGGAGAAAGAAGTGAAGAATAGGAATTATAAGGGAGAGAGAAAACAATTTTTTTTTTCTTTGCGGATGATATCAGTGCATACATAGACAGTGTAAGAAAATCAAGTTGGAGAGTGTTCTGGACAGTTGCTACATATAAAAATTGATAGGTTCCTGTACACCAGTGATAACCCTTTAGTAAATGAAATAGAAGAAAAGATTCCCTTCACAGTAGTATTAATCTATAATATATCTAAGAGGGAGCACAACCACAGATATGTGAAACATGGAGAAAATTATGGAAAGTTATTGTTAGATATAAAAGACATGAATAAATAAAGAAATTATACCATCTTTAACAATGAGATATCTTGATTTGTTAAGATATCATTTCCCTCTAAATTAATTCATTGCATATCTAGTCAAAATCCCAATAAGGTTTTTGTGAAATTTGACAAGATGAACCCAAAATTTATTGAGAAAAATCAAAGGCCCAGGCATAGCCGATACAATCTTGAAAAGCAAGATAGAGCCTTGCCGCGGATATAGATACTAGGCCATGGAAATTAAGATACTGTGGTTCTGATATAGAGATAGACAAAAGATCAGGGGAACAGGATAGAGAAGCTAGAAACAGGGCCACACATGCATAGAAATGTGATATGCAGCGGAGGCAGCATTATAAATCTGTAGGAAAAGATGGAATGTTCTATAAATGGTGCTTTGATCATTAGTTGATAATCATATAGACAATCAAATTGTATTTCTGACTTCAAACCATCCCTCAAAATAAATTCAGGTGAATTAAATTTGAAAAGCAAATCTTAAAAATTTGCTAGAAAACATAAGAAATAATGGAATACTTAGCAGTTAAAAATTTAGAGAGAAGTACATCTGTCTTGATGTGTAAATCTTAGGAATATAATACTGAGTGCAAAAGCAAGTTATAGGAGGATAGATGTAATAAAGTACCACTTATATAAAATTTAAGACATGAAATAATACAGTATATTGTGTGAAGATACTAAAATATATTGTAAAGTGTAAAAACACGTGGTAATAGTATACACCAAATTCAAGATGGTGTGTTTACTTCTGAAGACAGATGAATGTGACTGAGGAGAGATGTGTGCAGGCTACAACTGTGTCTGTAATGGTTTATTATTTTTTAGATAAAAACGTTCTAAAGCTATGTGTGACAACATGTTAACACCAAGTGAATATCTAGTAATAAATAAATGGTTGAATAAGTTATGGCTTTTACAGACTATGAGATATTTTTCAGCCATTAGAAAGAATGAGTTGTAGCTAGGCCACTTTATATGGAGGGATTTCCAACAGTTATTGCTCAGTGAAGAAAACAAGATGCAGAAAAGTTTGTATAAAGTCATCTCATTTTTATAAAACAGTGACATGTATGAATGTGGTACAATCTTGTGTGATCATATGAACGTGAAAAAAAAAAGGAAGGATTCATTCTAGGCTGTTGCCATGGGTTGGGAGTGAGGTGAGATGAGGAGAAGAGAAGGAGGGGGGAGTGGGGAGCCATTTCTTATGCAGAAATGCATAAGAAAATGCACTACCCAGCATGGCGGATAGGATTTTGTTTATTTACTGACATAATCATATATATACACATATTTTTAAAAGACTATAGAACCACTTTATTTTTTTTTTATTTTTTTATTTTTTTTTAAGATTTTATTTATTTTTTGCCCCCAAAGCCCCAGTAGATAGTTGTATGTCACAGCTGCACATCCTTCTAGTTGCTGTATGTGGGACTCGGCCTCAGGCTGGACAGAGAAGTGGTGCCTCGCTGCGCACCCGGGACCCGAACCCGGGCCGCCAGCATCGCAGCGCGCGCACTTAACCACCAAGCCACAGGGCCGGCCCTAGAACCACTTTAAATAAAGAGTGAGAGTTGATGTAAGTGGAATTTATTATATTTGACTGGAGGCTGTGGTAGAAATGGACTTAGCAAAAAGCCAACCAGACAAAAATGATACTTCAGAGAATTACTCATAATGTATTCTGTTGCTGAGTATTTAAACAAAAGATGTAATTAAATTAAAGTGATGCTTTTCCATTTTTCTCCATTTTGTATTTCTTAAATTCGATGAGTTCTTGATAATAATATATATAAAGTACTTACTATGTGCTAGGTGATGTAAAATACTAGTAGTAAAAGTAATAATTATATTTCACGAAATGGGGCCTTTTGACAGGGAAACTTTAGATCTTTTGCTCTTTTTCTTCAACTTGGGTGAGAAGAGGAGTGAGTCTTCATCTTTTTGGTCAGGCCATGGCCTATACACAGATAGTTCAAGAATACGGATAATTATCTTTGAAATTTTCATTTTTTTCTCTCAGTGTGCGGGATGACAGAATTCGAGTAGAAAGGATGGATAACACGTATTTTGAATACAGTCATGCTTTCCAGGTGGTTACAGAGTTTTATGCAAAAGATGTAGTTGACATCAAAGGTAGGTATTTTATACATGTTAGCCATATGCCCTCAAATTTAACTGAGTTCGGATTTGGATAAAGGTGCAAGTTTGACTTTCAATTTAATGAAAACTGAATAGTTACCAATAAATAGCTGGGAGAAGTAGAGATGAGAGTTCACTGTTCTGTGTTCATCAAAACCTCTGCTGCTTTGTAGTTCTGACCATTTAGTAACTGGTATTTTTGACATGTTCATTGGAGTGTAAGGAGTTAGTTACTGAACAACCTTCTGTTTTGCTTCTCTTCAAAGGTGGCTCATTATTTTCCTTGAAATTTTATAGACCGTTTGGGTAAATTTTCTGATGAAGGCTAGCATTTCCAAAGTGGTTGCCAGAATTAAAATACCAGAACATTAGTGACAGGATCTTACTATGTTAGGTAACCATTGTTTGTCTAATTCACGTTTCCTCAGCCAGGTATCTGTGTTCGATTTGGTCTGTACCCCTCGTTCCTGCCAGTCCAGCTTACGTTAAGGTCCATTTTTATCCCTTATCACATGCTGCAGAGCTCTCACCATGAGACCATAGATCAGCCTCCCTCAGCTCCCACCCAGGCATCAGTGTCTTGTTAGCATTTCTCTCTCCATCCCTTTTAATCTCATGGTGCTTTGGCCAAATTGAGTCGAGTGTCAGAGAGGGTAACCCACTTACGACACCAGTCTGCGTTATCACCAAGGGATCATCGTCTTATGCTTAGCTAAAGGCAAGACTAAGTCACAAGACTACCATAAGCCACTCTTGGAGTCAGATTCACTTAGAAGGATGTAGTACAGAAAACCTAGCTTGCTGGCAGGTTCCTCTTAGTGGGAGTCCTTCTCAGCAGTCTTTACAGCAGTCCACAGAGCCATTGGGCGCTAACATCCTCCCCCACCCCCCGCAATGACAGCTCAGCTGCAAAGAAAGGAGACTCGCATCAGGTGGGTGCAGGATCTGCCCTGGCTTAGAAGCCCCGTGCTCTACAGGAACCCATATCTCTTACTGGAATTTCTACAAAGGACATGCCAAGTGCAAAAAGTCAGTTTACTCAGGGAAGGCCAAATTCTGGAATCAGGTATTTATAATTCCTCCTAGTCCAGATGCAATTTACTGATTTCAGGTCATTTTTATCATATGCAGTGCCACCGGATAACACATTGGCACTTCATCTTTATCAGGTTTCCTGGGGAACAGAGCTAGAAAGTTAAAAGATGAAGTTCTCACTAGAAGGGGAAAGGGTTTTGTTAACTCTTTATTTACACCTTGGTATTATAAAAAGCTATAGTTGAAATTAATAAGGTATTTTGTATTACTGATTTATAGAGGATATTTTGTAATATTTTTTTATTTCTAAAAGTAATAAATGCATATGGTAAAAAAAGTCAAAACATAGTTGTATATAAAGAAAAAAAAAGTCTCTCCCCTCAAATCCTTAAGAATTTTTTTATGTACAAATCCACACATACACACATAAACATATATACATATATAATTCTGGATTTGTTTAATATAACTTGGATTTATTCTTTTAACTAGTTTTTATTGAATATCTATTATGGCAGGCATTGTGCATACAATAAAGAATAAAATAGACAAAAATTCCTGCTCTTCTGGAGTTTACATTCTAGTCGGGGGAAATATACAATAAAATAAGTTAGATAGTGTGTTTGAAGGTGATAATTGCTATGAAGAAAATAAGGCGAGGGAGAGAGTGAACTTTTAAATAGGGTGGTTAAGGAAGGCCTTTGAACGAAGATTTGAACAAAGACTGAAGGATTAAGGAGGAAAGTCATGGACATGTGAAGGAACAGTGTTTCAGGTAGAGACAGCAGAGACAACATATCTTAAGTGCCTGGTATATTGAAGCAACAGCAAGGAGCCTGGGTGCTGGGACAAAGTAACTAAGGGGGAAAATATTAGGAGGTGAGCTCAGAGACAGAGGAGATGGAAGGCAGGCAGTACAGGGCCTTATAGACCACTCTAAAGGCGTGAGCTGCTTCTCTCAGTGAGTTGAGGGACGTTGGAGGATTTTTAAGCAGAGTAGTCTAATGATCTGATGTACATTTTATTTATTTTTATTTTTTAATTTTTTTTTGAGAGGAGGACTAGCCCTGAGCTAACATCCGATGCCAATCCTCCCTCCCCGCCCCCCTTTTTTTTTCTGAGGAAGTTTGGCCCTGGACTAACATCCGTGCCCATCTTCCTCTACTTTATATGGGACACCGCAACAGCATGGCTTAACAAGCGGTGCGTCGGTGCGCGCCCGGGATCTGAACCTGTGAACCCCGGGCCGCTGCAGCGGAGCGCGCACACTTAACTGCGCGGGCTAGACCCTGATGTACATTTTAAAAAGAATTCCTTTGGCTGCTCTGTTAAGAATACCCTGTAGGGCACAGTGATGAAGCTGGGAGACCAGATGGAAAGCTGTTGCAATATTCTTGCTGAGCGATTGAGAATGATCGTATAACTTTTTTCCTCTCACTCAGCAATACATTATGGATAGTTTTCCATATCAGTACAGGTAGCTGTAAGTCATTCCTGTTAGTAAGTGCATAACAATCTGGACTTACCAAAATATACTTAACTATTACCCTATTTTGATGTTCAGTGAGATTGTCTCTAGTTTTTACTATGACAAAGATTTTTCAACTCACTTCCTTGTATACACATTTTTGACAAGCAGTTTAGAGTATTTCTGGGTCAAAGGGGATGAACATTTTACATTTTGAAAATTAGTCTATTGTTCTCCAAAAAAGGTTCATTCCACCATCAGAAAATGCCCTTTTTTCATGTCCTAGGTATTCGTAATCTTCTACATTTTTCCAAAGGGCAATTTTAGGAAGTATTGTATAAATAATTATTTAAATAACCATAAACTAAATTTTCTTTAACTTAAAATTTGTTTTTAATAACGGTGAATAATAATTTTAATGAAGGTATATGTTCTGTTTTTTAGGTTCTCAAAGTTTTTCTGGCATCATTAACTTGGAAAAGCCTGTGATTTGTTCTTTGGCTGCCATAATAAGATACCTCAAAGATTTTAACTTGGAAAAGGTGCTTTCCAAACCCAAGTAAGTGATTTCTCAAAAATATAAAATGGGGTGGAGTTACATTAAAAACACTTCTTAAATTGAATTTGGTTAAGTACTATACTCAGAGAAGTTTACCTGCTGTTGAATACTGTATTTGGGGGCAAGGATAAACTGTGTGGTATTATTGCTGAAGAATACTAAAAATATTAATTGATATAAAAATATTGATAGAATCCTTAAGCATTCTGTTAGTTTATATTCATGATAGCTATTTAATGTATTATAGTTTTGACTACAAAACGGTGCTTTATACTAAAGCGCAGTTAATTGACAAGTAGTATTAAGAAGTGGAATTAAGAAGTGGTATTAAAGAGCATTCATAAAACTTCACAGCCTTTCCTTTTCTTGGTTTCAGTTCTTATTTCATAGACCGTAAAGTTGGAGATTAAGAGGACAGCTGCTAACATAGACAGCTTTCTAAAAGAGTGATTAACTTTGTAGATTTCCGAGATTTAACAGCTGGCAATTGACATTCTAAGAAAATACTGGTTTAAAAACCAGTGGGATAAAAAAGATGGTGGGATAATTTTCTTGCCTTTCTGTATTCTGCCTCCACCAGTCCCTTGTCTTTGGCTCTGTGAAGAATTACCCTCCATCATGTTGGTCCTGGATAAGTAAGCTACTGCCTGTTCTGCAGAGGTGGGTGGACAGATAGGAGCTACCCCAGTAAAATGACCAAATAGAGTTGGAAAACAAAGAACTGGTGCTGGTTTGAGGTTGTTGGGGGAGGGTGGAAGAAAGGCAGGTCCCTTGGGAATCTTTTCATAACGTCTTTTTGGTGTGTGTTCTACTATGTGGTATTTAGGATAGAGCAGAATATCATTTCTCTGGGAGCAGGTTTGTTCTGTTTAAATGCAATCTTAATGTCCATCAACAGGAGAGTAAATTCATGTGTTATATTCAAGCAATATAAAATAAAAATGAATGGACTAGAGTTACATGTATCAATATTTTAAACATTTCGTTGACATTATATTGAGCCAAGGGGCCTGCCTGGTGGCGTAGTGGTTAAGTTTGTGCCCTCCACTTCTGTGGCCCGGGGTTTGCAGGTTTGGATCCCAGGCATGGACCTACACACTGCTCATCAAGCCATGCCGTGTGGCGTCCCACATACAAAGTAGAGGAAGATTTGCACAGGTGTTAGCTCACGGCCAATCTTCCTCACCAAAAAAAAAAAAAAACAAACATTATATTGAGACAAAAATCAAATTGCTGAAGAAGACACAGTATATACCATTATATGAAGTTAGCAACATGTGAAACAATAGTGTTTATTGCTTAAGAATATGTACATATATAGGGAAGGTATAAAGACATGCATGGGAATGACGAACAACAAATTCAGAAGAGTGGTTTCTTCCAGTGGGGAAGGAGGGGAAACAAAACAGCTTGGTGGGGGAAATGGCACAGGGAAGTTCTAATTGATGTTTGTTTTTTAACCTGGGTACTATATTAATCTATATATGTTTTAGTATGGCTGAAACGTTTTATTAAAAAAAGTAGCAGCCTGACATTATACCTTATTGGATTCCACTTTAAGCTCCAGTAATGGGAGACTTACTGCAGAGGTTGATCTGGGTGGTTAATTGTCTTGGATCCCCAGAAGGAAAGGATGACAAGCTGCCTACCGTTTGGCTTGTTCGTGATAGGGAGGCCCTGGTGAAGTGAGGTAGAATCAGTGACTAATAGCTTGCTCATTAAGATTTATTTCTGTCCCTACATCGCCAAGCAATGAAGTATTAATATTGGGATAAGGAAACTGACTTTTAAAAAAAAATATGGCTCTCGTGTTTAGAAGTAGATGAATTTGTGTCTGAAAACATTATGATGTTCTCCTTCTGTTTAATTCAAAGTAAAAATAATACTAAACGGTAAAACATAAAATGTTTATTTGTACTGAAATTAAGATAACTTATTTTTAAATTACCTGACTCGATAAATTGAGTGAAACTGAACTTTCCTCGTCTTCTATTTGGTGGTGGTGTTGGGGTGGTCAGGGGACTGGATCTGCTGGTGGTTTGGTATGTGTCTAATATGCCTGTTGGGTAATCACTCCTCTCGTTTCCACAGAGCCAAAGACAAAAAAGATATAAAGAGGTCCAGAGTGTTAGGCCCTCACTTTATGTATCACTCAGCATCTGTCAGTACCTAGTAGGCAGTCAGTAAATATAGGATTAATAAAAAGAAGGAAGGAAGGAATTCTTCATCCTGTAAGTGTGGATTTGATTTTAGAAATTGCCAAAATGTCATTGGGAGCCAAGATTAATTAATAAAGATTGTGATCAAACCAGTGCTGTTGTTTTTGATTCAAAAGGAAATGTGAGTGATGATGTTTTATGGGTGGCATGTGATTCGACTCTGAAGATAATTCCAAAGGAGTAATTACACAGTTCTTATATTTTGGAAAAGAAATGTTGCCTCTCAAGGTGATTACTTTGGAAAACGTGAATGTTCTCCTTGTATGTTTAATATTACTTTAAAAGTTCATCAGCATAAGGTATGATTATACTTACTTCAAGAGCTGTGATATTGAGGGAAAATTTAGTTGCCTTGTTTTGCAAATGCTTTCACAAAAATTGCTGAATATTTCATAAAAATCTTGATGTACAGTTATTTAAAGGTCTTTGTGCCTTTACAATAGAATTTCAGCTTGGTTGAGGAAAATATACTGTTTGAGGAATTGTTCTTAAAGATGGATTAAGTGAGGTTTTATTATTGATTAGATAAAGCAAATTTTGAGGCTCCAAGTTTATTTTGAGAGTTTAAGTGGGTTTGTTCCAGAGCAAAATAGTATAATAGAATGAATAGAATGTGAAGGATATTACATAGTTATTATGACATAATTAACCTGATTCCTAAATTTATGAAGTTTTAAAGGAATTAACCTTTTTTTGTTGTTTTTGGAAATGAGTGTTTTGTCATTTCAGATGAATTTATTAAGAAAGATCTGGTCAGAACTTCAAATAGGTGTTGGACATTTAGGAAAGAATGAGAAAATCCACCCAAGGTGAACTGCAAATACATTTTCTTAGGAAACTTCCTAAAACAGAATGGTAATATAGGGTGCTTGCTTTCATTAGTGAAACTAACATAAAACTTATTTTAGTGACATCTAAGTTTAATATAAAAGCTATTTTAATGACATCTAATGGGTAGAGATCAGAGATACTGCTAAATATCTTAAAATGCACAGGACATCCCCCTACGAAAAATTATTTGGCTTTTGGCTTCCTCTGGACTTTGCCTTATGCACCTTCTCCCTTTTCTGATTTTGCTTTGTATCCTTTCACTGTAGTGAATGATAGCTGTGAGTATGACTGTGTGCTGAGTCCTCTGTATCCTCCTGGTGGATCACTGACTCTGGCAGTGGTCTTGGGGACCTGTTATACGCCTTTCTGATTATTTTCTTCTCTGATATGCTTACTCACAGCACTTATGAATGCAAAGGTAGTCGTTTTGTTTAATTACAAATCAAGTAGAAGTGAACTACAATAAAACTGAAGTTTTGTAGTATAATACAATTTATAATCATAAGTAAAATTAACTACCAAAAGATTAGGCAAATTGTGAATGTATGACCTTTGGAAACTGTACATAGAGAACTATTTTCTGCTATAGCTTTCATATCTAATGTGGTAGTTTTTTTTGTTTCCATTTTCAAATAATAATAATATTTAAATAGGATCTTTGTAAGGGGTTGATTTTTCAGATAAGGTCTGTAGCTTTATTGCCTTTGTCTAAATCAGAAAGATTAGTTTTCTTTTTTTTTAAAGTTGTGTAAGAATGATATAGAGTCTTAAATTTCTCTGGCAAGTTTTCAGCAAGGACATTTCCTCCCATTATAAAACTTGAGGGGAAAAAAATGCATCTTTTGTATTTTTGTTGTCTGAAATATTAATGAAGTATTTTCCCATGTTACTTATGAGATTTCTATCCAGGTTCACCCAGCATGAGTTCTAGCCAGACATTATTTATGAGGTTCATTTCAAAGCACATAAAATTTGGCTTCTTCCAAAAGGATAAATAATTTAGAATTGAGTGTTTCAGAAGTGATCATATACTGTTGAATTCCTAAGAATGCTGGCAGATACAACTCTTAGTTCAAAAATGTATATAAATCCTAATGGAAATAGGCGCTGACAGAAGGAAATTTCCTTTGTATTTGGAAGGAAGAGTCCCAACTCCAGAATATATTATCAGCCAAACATATGGGAACCCAAAAGCAGAGTTAGTTCTTCTTACCGTTGCTTGATAATTACTGTTCCATAGGAATCAGTCTGATTTAATATTGCCTAGTGGTTGATCTCTTTTATTAAAATCAATGCAGATGTCAGTTTGTGGAAACTCTTTGCTTCTCACTGCATGTACTTTGAGATTTAGATGACTTCTTCAGTAAGGGCAGAAAAACAAAAATAAATAAAAAACCATATGCACATCTCATTAATGCTGCTAATTAAGAAAAGAGCCTATACTTTTTCTCTCTAAAGATCTGGTGTTATGAGCTAACTTAAGCCAATTTGGTTGTTCACAGTCATTGGTTCTTTGTGATATTGTAGATATTGGGAGGAATTATATGTAGGTGAGGGCTCTATGCTTCCTCTCCAACTGTCTCTCTACCAGGTTGTATGTTAGTCCAAACCGAAATCTGCCACACGTATACTTTTTGGCGAGCAGGCACAAGAACCATTACATAAACTCTGCTGTAAGCTCCATGAAATTCCAGTTCTCAGTCTTCTTGATGTCCTTTCGGTGCCTTGCTTCACAGGTTCACTTGAGGCATAGTAGGAGCACTTTAGTTGGAATTAGGTGGCAAAACCCTCAGATTTTTGTGGAACAGAGGATGCATTCAGAATCCTAAACCTAAGCCACCGTTGCTCAGGGTGTGCACTGTTGGGTTTAACATTTCTTGTCAGGGTGAAGGCAACTGAGCAGTGTTTCTGGACAGTTTATACATCTTCAGTGCCACTTGTTTATCTTACACTTCTGGTGTTCATGGGAGATAAAGGCAGCTAGCTGAGGTGTTTTTAGGAAAGGCTACTGGATTATGGGTTCTTGATTATGGGTCTTTCTCTCATGCCAACCAAGCGTTCCTCTAGAGTTGTGTCTGATTAAGGTACTCAAGTGTTAATTGTGTAGGTTAAACCTAACTGTCAGGAACAGGGGAAGTAAATGACATATCTAAGCAGATGACAACTGGGTGGATACCAACTCAGTCCAGGCTATCAGCTCTTCCAAATTGGATCTTTGACCATGAAGCTGTGTGAACACCTGTCAGCTACACAGCCGATCACTGCCTGATTATTTCTTCCTGACAATAATGTTTTACGTTTTATTGCTGGCCTGAGTGTTTCACAGACATTTCTGAGCTTTATGACTCAAAGGAAACAAACAGACCCAAAATGGCTTTCCCATAGGAAGATGGCAGACATTTGTGGAGCATCTACTTTCTGTTAGGCTCTGCAGGTGCTGCAAAAGATATAAGACGTAAATAACCCTTGCCTTCAAGGAGCTTAGATCTATTAATGAGGGTAGCAGAAGAGCATAAATTGCTGTAATACAAGGCAAATTAAGTTAACTGCTTCAAGAAGGAGACAAAGGGCCCCACACACCTGCTAGCAATGGGTGTTAGAGTTGCTTGCCTTTGAAAATCATTAATAAGTTATCCTCCTTTGGCAGCTAGGTCAAACCTGTCACAGATAAATTACACTGCCACAGGGCAGCGTTCATTTACTAGGCAACAATCCAAATATGCAGTAAGTTCTTTCTTTTTCAGGGCTCTGGAGCTTTAGTTGGGGGAGTCATCGAGAAGTGAAGGCATCTCTCAATGAGCAGTGGCTCTCATTTTAGGGTCTGGATTATTGGATGAAGGCTTGTTTCCATAACTGGCTCGGGAGACTGGATTTTATTTAAATCCCATTACAGCCGTGATAAGTGTGGTTAGATTTATAATGCAAACACTCATGCTTTCCCTCCAAATAGTTTAGTGACTGCCATTATTTTTCTTGCCTTTAAAAAGAAGCCATTAAGTCTGTAAGAGCTGTTGATAGAAAGGTCAAAGGAATGGCTTATAAGGGAAATTGAATTAACTGTATTAGTAATGCAGTGATGACTGTACTTTTTAACATGAAAGACTACTAAGGACAAAATTGGAATTGTGCATACATTTATTAATCATATTGCCACTCAATACTGAAGTCTAATTGAAATTTATTGAACTTTTAATCTAGTTTGGGATAGTTACAGGGACATAAGGAGAATGTGAATTCTTTGAGCTTAAGGAAATAATTTCTGCTACTTTTTCAGTCTCATACTCGACAAAACGTTAGTGACACTAATGTGTGTTAATTATAGGGTAAGTAACATTTGTTGCACATATCAAACTGTTGATTAAAAGCTGTTAAATGGTTTATCAAGATGATCACATGCTAAGGAATAAGGGAGACGTTTTTAAGTATCTTGACATATTTTTCTAGCTAATTGCATAGCTTTTCCTGAAGATACCACCACATGCTCTGCCAATAATAAGAGCCTATGTTTGGTTCTATTCCTGGAAATGTAAAGAAAAAAACAAAAAAATGTTGGTACCATTTACTTCCCTTCCTTGTTCTTATTTTTGGTGTAAGAGAAACTATTCTTCTTTTGCGTCAGTCTTTTTAGTGGCACCAGCATCAATGGATGACAATATCCCAGTGAATATTCTTTTTGCTCCTTTTGGTTTGATTTCCTATCAAAGAGCTAGCTAACTTTTGTCATCATCTTACCAGAATATTTTCAGTGCCTAAATTAGTTTTAAAAATTTCTTTATGCACTTACATCATGGCTCTTATTTCATTCTTTTACAGGAATTTTAAACAGTTGTCTGGTGAAATGGAATTTATGACAATTAATGGAACAACATTAAGGAATCTTGAAATCCTACAGAATCAGGTCAGGTAAACATAAAGGCTAGTTGATTCAGAATGGTTTTGAAAAAAAATTTTGGAATAAGGTAGCAGTTTGTTTTTAGGAGTGCAGGTGAAAATAACAATATTGTCTTTAACTGATTGCTCTGTCATCTGTTTATTAGTTGATAACTGCAGCACTCAATTTTAATATTAAATTAATTTTAATTTAATATTAAATACTTCTCTATGGGTTACTGTGGGAGCTATAGAGCTTTTTTAATGATTGAAATGACATGCTCATCCTGATAATTTCTGTATCAAATATTTCTTTGGAAGGACATCATCTTTGAAAATTAATATGAAATGGATTGTTTTGGTCTCCTTGGTTATATTTTTCTACATACCTTTAACTTTTTATTGAAATGTCTGCAGTCTTACTTCATTATCCAGCATATAAAACAAGTTACTGTGATACCCAATTGGACTGTAAGGTGGATAATATTTCACTTCACAAACTTTGATCATTGTTTGTTTGTGCTTTATTGAAGAATTAGGAAGAAAATGGAAACATTAAAATTATTGCTTTCATTTATTAAATTATCACTTGGAATGTGGGATATTATATTATAAAACTAGTGTTGTTATAACATAAAGTCATGGAAATAAAAAGCAGTTCCAAGTCATTTGAGTAAGTAGTGGAGAAACTGAACCATCTGGTTAAATGGTTTCAAGCTCTTCAGAAATATTTATTACCGCTGTGAGTTAAAGTAAATGCTGAATTTATTCTCCTGACTCCTGGATTTGTCACTAACTAGTTTCTCTCTCTTAGTTTCCCTCTTCCAAGCTATCTTTGTCTACTAGAGTCAGCCTTACTTTTATTCAATAACATTTTTATCTTGTCATTCCATTTATCCAGAAGTTGAGAGTCTTTCCCACCAGTCTTTCTCATCACCTCTACAGTCATGCGCCGCATAATGATGTTTGTCAATGACGGACCGCGTATACAATGGTGGTCCCATAAGATTAGTACTATAGAGCCTAGGTGTGTAGTAGTCTATACCATCTAGGTTTGTGTAACACTATGATGTTTGCACAATGATGAAATTGCCTAACGACGCATTTCTCAAAATGTATCCCCATCATTAATTGATGCATGACTGTTTATACATCCCCATGATAGGAAACAAGTAGTAGGAATAAAACGACATTTCTTGGATAAAGAAGAGCTCACAGTCAAAGCCTGCAGACAACCCTGGCATTTCAAGCTTTCCCTCCTTCTGCTACATCCTCCCTGTTCAAATCCTACTATAGTGGGATCAGTTCTGAAATCAAATTCCCAAGGCAAAAATCAACTGTAATCAAAATACCCTTTAAAATCTCTTTCATTATTAGGATGTGAGCCCTTGTAGAAGCAGAAGCTGAGAATTAATGTCTTCTGCTTGTCTTTGCATTTTGACTTGGGCCTCCCGTACCATATAGCAATGGAAAGGGGTGATGAGCAGGGGGCTGGGTGTCAGGGAGAGCCGAGGTGTAACAGGACTTGTGTCTCTCCCGTCTTTCTCCCTCTGGTCTGAGCCTGCTTCTCCAGGGATGCCAGGTAACTGGAGAATGATTCCCCTCCACTGTCCTCTTCATGGGACCCTGTGCTGCCGTCACACCATTCGGCCTCTTGTCTCAGAGGGATGGTGCAGCTGCTGGTCTGGACTGCCCTCGTCGGCCAGCTCTGCCTGCCCAGCTCATCTTCTGGGGAGCCGTCCGTGATCGCTATAGCTTCTGTGTGTGCTCTGCTTTAAACTCCTAAGGCCTGGGGAGCTTATGTCACACCTTTTACAGTTGATTTCTGCCAGGTGGCATTGTACCCTGCTTATGAGTCTTTTCTGCTAGACTTGGGTGTAAGACTTGGGTGGCACTGAGGGAGGGGCCGTGTCTTAATATACCTTTGCCAGTTGTACTCCTGAGCACGTGGGAGGTGTTCTCTAAGTACCTGCTTGTTGACTTGAAGGAAAAGGAAAAAGTTAAAAAAATATTCAGGTGAAAACTGCAATTTTATGTTCCAAATAAGATTCAAACCAATTAATACACTTTTTGTAATACAAGGAAACCTTGGTTAAAATTAACTACCATCTCTAGTTAGTTGTAAATTTTTTTTATGGCTTAACTTACAAGTGGCAAAACATAGATAGATAAACTTCTACTTAGGATTTAATAAAACAGACTAAAATAAAACTCCTTCCAGGGTTAATTCCTGGAGTGCAGGGTAGGTTCACTTCTGTGTACAGTACTTGTTCAGTATTGTCATGAGAGCATCTATCTTTAGAGTGGTAACTCTTAGGAAGTAGAAGATACTTTTCAATTCGGTATCTTCACTGTCCTTACCAAGACAGGGAAGTATACAGTTATATTTTTAAGATGCTTAGGACAAACGTATTTCAAAAGAGGCTTCTCAGTAATTTATTCTTAGTTAACTAAAAACTGCACGTAGACTATCCCTTTGCTGTACAAAATATAAATGCTTTATATTGTGTGTGTATATATATTCATTCATCAAACATTAAACGAATGTCTGTTATAAGCTGTACTTTGTGCTAGGCATGTGTATTTAAATGTGTATTAAATGTAGGCATTTAAAATTGGGGTTTATAGAATAATTAGGGCACGTGAACAACTAGCGATTTTGGTACAAATACAATTGTCTAGTTAATAAAACTTGTTCTCTGGTATTTCTTAGACTGATATGAAAACCAAAGGAAGTTTACTTTGGGTTTTAGACCATACTAAAACTTCATTTGGGAGACGGAAGTTAAAGAAATGGGTGACCCAGCCACTCCTTAAATTAAGGTAAAAGGATTTCTTTTTTGTGTGTTTAATCTGAAATTATATAAAATTGTGAAATTAAAGGTGTGTTAGCCTCCTTAAAACCAAGGTTACCATGGTTTATAAGAACATGATGTTAAATTGGGGAAGATTTTATTTTGTATTTGGCAATAGACTGTGTAATATTGTGAGGATTCTTTTACTTGTCCCCGAGAATGAGCCTGCTTGCAGATTGGAAGACGTGGGGTGTGTCTGGGGAAAGTGAGTTATCCAGTTAGTTTGGGTTGTCAGTAGCATAAGGAGGTAGAGAGAGACAGGGCTGGAGAGATGGGGTGCTGCCTTCTGCAGGGGGCTTTGAAGGGTAGGCTGAGGAGATGGTAGCCAGAGGAAGTTAATTGATGATTCTGAGCGTGGGAGTGATGGGATCAGAGGGGGCTTGTGTGTAGGAGGGGACAAAGTGGTGGTGGTAGGGGACAAGTGAGCAAGTTCCTGAAGAGGTTCTGAGACCTGAGCTAGAGCAGTAACAGTAGGACTCCAAAAGAGGTCAAGTGTGAGACGGTTAGGAAAGCAGAATGAGTGCACTAGGAGCTCCTGCAGGGACGGAGCTGAGTCTGTCACTAGAACACAGCGGTTTCCAAGCCTGTCCGCAGTTTGCAATCACCTGGGAGGCTTCACAAATACTCATGCCTGTGTCCAGGCCCCAGAGGTTGTGACTTAATTGGTCTCCAGTGTGGCCAAGGAGTTGGAATTTTTAAAAGCTCCCCAGATGGTTCTGATATGTAGATGAATTTGGGGATTCTGACCTAGAACAGTGCCTGTCACTTAGTAGGAGCCCAGTTCATGTTTACTGAATGAATGAATGAATGCATGCTATTATTTATTGTGCTCTTACTGTGTACCAGTATTTAATACTCAAAATCGGCCACTGAAGTAAGTCCTTGAGATGAGTGAACAGATTCAGAGAGCTTCAATAGTTGCTCAGTGTTTCATAGCTGGTAGAGCCCAGATTTAAAACCAGCACTGACTCCAAGCCCGAGCGGGCGCTTCACCATTGTCCTGAACAGCCTCCCTTATGGGCAGAGCAGAGTGTGCTGTGGTGGTGAAGAGAACTGCCGTGTGTGGGCTCCGTCAACTGAGCCCCCCGCTAAGCCCCCACCCCGTGTTCTCACCTTTGAAATGGTAGACTCCCTCCTCCAGGGGTTGCCGTAAGGGATGAAATGAGGCAGGAATCCTAACGACCATTTTTGAGCTCTTTGTTACATACCAAGCACTATGCTGGGGGCTTTATTTGCATTGTCTCTCTTAACCTGCACGACAGCCTCATGTTGACTGCATTTTACGCTGTGCTAACTAAATAGTCTTCAGTAAAGGATAGCATATGTTATTAGTGTTAGTAATGAACTTCAAGACGTTGTTTTGATGATGATGATTATCAAATCACTTCAGCTTTGGTGGGTCACTCCGATCTCTCTTCTTGACCATTATGACCTATGACAGGGGAAACTGACTAGATAGAGAAGAAATTCTTAAAATGGAAGTATCTACTTTAGTTCAGTATTCAAATAAGATAAGGATACCTCGTGGAGCAAAAGCAGACAAGACGGCTTCCTGCAGACAGTCTGTGGACAAAGTAAGAGATGTTGCATCCTGGCTCATGGAAAGGTCTACTTAAGCATCCACAGCAGTTCTTACCATTTTATTTGCTTGGTTGAAATATTCAGCAGAAAGAGAGTCACTAGCAAACGTTTCCATGTAAATTAAAATTTTTATTTCTATTGTTAACTTTGTTTTGTATAACCAGGGTTAATTTTAGATAAATTCAGTAAACCATGTTGTAGGATTTTTAGGGGCTGAAACTGTATCTCTTGGGATCCCACCTTCCCAGAAAGGCTGAGAGAATACGTCGTGCATTGAGCACTGATGCTTTCCAAGTATGAATGTTAGACCAGCCTAACACTTACATAGCTGAAAACAAACATGCGGATCTTTTTTCTTTGCCTTTTTAATTATTTTATTTTATTTTATTTATTTTATTTTATTTTATTAATTTAATTTAATTTAATTTTATATTTTTTTAATTTATTTTTTTCCCCCCAAAGCCCCAGTAGATAGTTGTATGTCATAGCTGCACATCCTTCTAGTTGCTGTATGTGGGACACGGCCTCAGCATGGCCGGAGAAGCGGTGCGTCGGTGCGTGCCTGGGATCCAAACCCGGGCCGCCAGCAGCAGAGCACGCACACTCAACCGCTAAGCCACAGGGCTGGCCCCATGCCTTTTTCATTTTAAGTCATAGTTTTAAAACTTTTATCCTCCTAATCCGTTAAAATCCACTTCAAAAGAATTCGAGTTAAATCTTAATGGCACTTGCAACCTATTCCAAACAAATACCTCAAGAAGGTCTTCAGCTGATTAGTCAGTGGTTCAGCTGTATATTTATTGTTGTTGTTGTTGTTTTTTATGCTAACATAGGTGCCATGCTGATTACATCAATGGTTCATTTAGGCTAATAATCTGTCTCGGACATTGGCAGCCAAAGATTAGTTTAGGGCCTGGTTTTCTTCTATAGTGAGATAATAGAATGAATAGCTGGTGACAAGGGAATTTTGCATGATAAGGCAGATCTCCCAGATTCTCTAAGAGCACGTTATTTGTCAGTCATCTGTGAATTCTCTTAAATCCCTTAAGATCTTCTTTATGTTTTTAGCCTATTTTAGCTCTCAGGGCAATCACACAGTTCATAAATCCAGGACCAAGTATTTCAAGTTTCAGAGGATTTTCCACCCCACCACCTTTTATTCTATAAAATGGCCTCTTTGGTGCAGAATTTTACTAGACTTTTACAGAGTATAAATGGCTTTTACCCTACACTTATTGACTGATTCAAAGAATTCACTTAGATTACTGAGACTGGATTTTACTTTACTGAGACTACATTGGCTTGTGGTTGGATTATGCTTTCTTATGTGTTGTGACCTATATTTTTTATCAGTTCCGCTAATTTTAGGCAAGAAGATTCTTCAGCAGACTTTTCTGTCTTCTCCTTATAAATGAATGTCACATTGGCAAGCCATTAGTCCTAAGACCTTTTAAAGTTAAATTATATTGAATTCATTTTTTTGAGGCTCCATCTTTGAATTTCGCCTACTACTTTGAGTTGATATTGTCTTGTCAATCTTTAATACTATATACATTGTGTGTACTTTATTGGTTCTTGTCAAAAAGTCCCAAAATGCAAATTCTGCTTGTAAATATTTATAGAGGGGGGAAAGAAAACTTTGAAAAGTATGAGATGAGTCTCTAAAATGATCTTTTAGCAAAATAGTTGATTTCCAAGGCAGATTTGGTCATCTTAGAAGAATTCAAGATTCAGTAACTCTATATTTTAAAATAAACAAAAATAACTTACGAGTTTTCTTGGTGGATGCCTCTTCTTCTACCTGCACGTTAAATGTTGATCCTGGGGCCTCTTCCCTCCTTTCAGCACTACTTAGGATCTTATCTGTGACCATGGCTACTCCTTTACTCATGCTCATGACTTTGTCAGCAATATCGCCAGCAGCTCCAGACCCACACATCTGCCAGGACATCTCTGCCTCAGGAAATGTTCAATTTGAGTGTACATACAGATTGGAAACAGAGCATTTCCTTCAGTGAGACAGTGATTTCTTGGAAACACAGCTGTATATATATGTGTGTGTATGCATGCACATGTGCGTGCACACGTACAGAACAGCAGATTATTAATCACAAAGCAAAATCTGAGAAATCAATTCCTCCCCTTCTAGTGGATGAATTGTTCTGATCAACAATGAAAATATTGAATCTCTAGCAATAAGTAGTAGTATATCATCTTGCCTTTTTATAAAATCACTTTTTATGAAAGGCAGTCAGATGAAAGCCTTTTCATGAAAGGCTTTTTGTTTATCACAGAAACTAAGCATCTCCATGCCTCTGGTCTTGCCCTTCTCTATTTCTACTCTGTGCTTCCCATAGATTATTATTTTTTTTAGTGTATATGTGATTGTGTTGCTCCCTACTATTTACAGTTCTCACTACAAGCTGAGGTGTAATTTATTTCGGGACCTTTGTACAGTCTGTTCCATTTTTCTGAAGTGGAAACTTGTTCTCATTTTTGTTTCCCTCCAAGTTTGCTGGCTGCTTCGTCAAAGTTCCCTTTGCTAGCTGTTCATCCTCTGTGTATCCTTTAAGTGTTCGAGTTGCTGAGATCTGAATCTTAGGAGCTCAGCCTTCTTCCTTCTCTTACCCTCCCCTCCCCTCCTCTTCTCACTCTCTCCTACCTGACCCCTGTGAACTTATCTATTCCCATGACTATAAATATCAAAATGTCAAAATTCCCAAATTTGTATCTCTGATCCTTACTCTCCTGTTCTCTAGGCTTATATATTCAATTAAGATTCATAAACACATAGGTGTATCACAGACATCTGAAACTTAATGTATTCAGCCCTGTTTTTCCTCGTGGTTTCCCCATTCTAGGAACCAGCACCTTCACCTAATGAGTTGATTAGTCCAGAAACCTGGGAGTTATTCTGGACATTTCCTTTTTAACAACCACATTCAATCCAATACTAAATCCTATTGTTTTCACCTCTAAAATATATCCCGAGTCTGTGTATGTCTTGCCATCTCGACTGCCATCACTCTGGCCTAAACTACCATCAGGTCTCACCTGGACTGCTGCAGTGTCCTCCTGACTAATCTCTTTTTGCAAAATGAAGACTGAATCCTGTCACTCTCCTGCCTCAGACTCTTCATTGGCTTCCTGTTGTGCTGTGAATAAAATAAAATTTCTTTCACCTGCCTCTTGCATCTGACACACACACCCCCCCCCCCCCACATTCGCAAGTTTATTGTCTTCTGGTCACTCTGGCCTTTCTTTGGTTCCTGAGCATCCCAAAGCTTTTTCTCATCTCATGGTCTTCATATTTGTTGCTGTCTCTACCTAGAATGTTCTTGCCTTTCCCTTAAGTCTTTACATAGCTAACTCCTTATCCTTTAGGTC